CCATAATGGGGCCCAAGCGTGCACAGTGAAGAAAGACATGAAAAACTGTTTCTGACGTCCCACAGAAAGGACACCCATCTCCCACTAATGGATCAATCCGCGCCGCGTGCCTGTTTGTAGCTAAAATCCCGTGTACAATCCTCCATTGGAGGTCACCCACCCTCTTCTCGATGGGTCTTTTGTACAGGGACCGCCAGCTACCTTTCGGGGAAGAGCCAGCCTGAACAACCTCTGTCCATTTAGACTCTCGCACGTCTCTCAAGCTGTGAAAGTGCAGTACTTTAGTACATGCAATGTACAAAGCCCTCTTGGTGAGAGAGCTAAAGAGACCAAGAGTCAGTGTTCCCAAAGACAAGAGTTTCCCCTGACCCTCCTGCCAGTTTTGCATCTCCGAATCTCTCCGAGAGAGGAGAGAGAGAGACAGACAAAGAAAGAGTGAGTGAGAGAGAGAGAGAAGTGAAAGAGAGAGAGAAGTGAGAGAGTGAGAGAGCAAGAGAGAGCGAGAGAGAAAGCGCAAGAGAGAGAAAGAGAGAAAGAGAGAGAAAGAGAAAGAGCTTCTAGAAGAGTGACAGTTACTTTAATATCCGGGTGAGTGTGTGTGGTGTTTTCTCACAGCTGGGTAAAATGGTAAAATGTGCCCTCTGGGACCTTTCAGCGGCTAGAGAAATCTGAACACACTCACTCCGCCTATCTTTCAGTGACTGACAGCTCACTATACAAACCAAAATACAGCAGGACCCACCTCCTCTGAGTGACTGACAGCTCACAACACGCAGCAATGTGGGGCAGATCATCAACCACAAAGCAGCCTGGAATCAGTTCCACAGGCCGTTCACACAAGGGCCTGAGGATTCCACCTTAACTTCATAAAGGCCTACATAAGCTTAGACTGCTTTCCAGGAGCACATGTATGACAAATAGAAAGCATTCAGCTCATGTGTTTAGCAACATTCTCTCAACTCAAACATCACATTCCTAGTATTGAGTAAATAAAGTAATAGACTACTAAGGGCTATGCATTATGGTTATAGGTATATCAGGACCCTATGTGAATACGATATAATACTGCAATGTTCAATAAATAATTAATCATTACTAGCAACTGGCCACAAATGCTAAGCAGCATAATGATCCTGAGGAACTTAATGCATTTATGTGTGATGAGAGTAGTCATACAATGTTGTGCAAAAGTCAGGAGCACCCTTTTTTTTCATTTCCTGTCAAAACAGCTATCAAAAAAGTGGACGTGTAGCTGTTCAGAAGCCCTTACTGAAAAAAAGGAAATAGACAAAAAGATGAAAATTTGCACGAGAACAACAAAACTGAACATCTGAGATGTGGAATAAGGTTCTATGCAGATGAGTCTAAATTGTGACTAAGATTATTTGGACTGTGAGAAGCAGAAAGTGCAACCAACTACTAAGACTGAACTTAGTAGGTGTTGAAAAATATCCCTGCAGATTTCTTTAAAAGACTGATTGCAAATCTCCCGAAAAGAACAGAAGCTATAATAAAGGCAAACAGTGCACATACTAAATTTTATTATATTTAGTTAAATTCCTCTGCAATTTTCTGTTCAATGTATTTTTATCTGACAAATTTGTACATAATGGCCATTTGGACTAGAAATTAAATAATTTAAGGGTGGTCTCTATATGAGCACAAATTAAGGGTGCGTAGTACTATATGTGTATGTACTGCTTACTCCACAATCAGACTGAACAACCGTTCCTATCCATTTAAAGAAGGGTGATTTGGTCAATCCATTACATAAGCTACTTATTAGTCTGTGTTGCTTCTTAAAAGCTGATGTCAGATGAGGATACAGAGCATTTCTGCACAAGTGATTTGAGGACAGAACAGAAAACACAACACAACACTTTCTACACTGACCCACTGCGCGCACACATGTACACACACAGCCACCCTCATCACTCAGCATGTCAGTACAGGGGAGAGGCAGCTCGTGTTGCTTTCTCTCTTCCCAGATCATGTGACAGGGTAAATAAACGCTGGGTGCTGACAGACGTGTGTGTGCGCTTGGGGGAACGTCACAGCGCGCACACACACACGCACACACACACACACACACAAAAACAGAGCAACATAGCCTAAAACTCTCTACAGGACAAAAGGAAGACGGGGTCCCCTTCAAACAAACTACATGAGATGTGTGTGTATGCTAAAGTTTGGGCGCCCCTGGTCAAACGACAAGTTGATTTTCTAAGTGAAAATAAGTTAACGTATAAGTTAAGTGACGTCTGCACATTTTAATAGGCAATTGGTGTTTATTTGTTGAATTTAACATTAGGAGGGGAAACAACATTAAATACACAATATACAAGTTATGGCATATTTTCTATCTGTTGGGTATTTTTGCCACTATGTTAAACTCAGCAAATAAATAGAAATTGTGCACTAAAATTACAGAGAAATGTCATATTCAAGTATGTTCTCTGCAAAGGATGTGTGAACTTATTTTCTCATAGAAAATCAACAAAATATGTAATTCGAGTGTGGTATTCAAACTTTCGCCCATGAATGTGTGTGTGCGAGATAGCATAGTGTTGCGCCACAGTTCAGTGAAAGTCTTTGCTTTCTGAAACACTATGTGCTTTGAGAGAAAGAAAATAGTTCTGAAGATTACACACTGTTTTTTCCCCCATCAGGTAGGAGCTGACCAATATGTCATTTGGCAGATTAAATCAGTCAGTATTAGCGTACACTGATTTATCAGCATCAGCAGATGTCCAGCAGATAAAGCATAAAATGTGTTTTTGTTAAGCAGAACAGACAGTGTACTTTTTTAAGGCTCTAAATGACCTAGAACCCGCTTACATCACAGAGTGTCTGTCTGTTTATGTTCCAACACGTGATCTTAGATCTGCAGATACTGACCTTCTGCAAACACCTTCTGTGAAATACAGAAAACATGGAAAGACTCTTTCAGTTATTAAGCTTCTAAACTGTGGAGCTCAATTGCATATTTTATAAGAAAGTCAAGCTCATTTTTAAGAGGCAACTAAGAATGTCTCTCTTTAACTTAGCATTTGTTTAAAACTCCACGTCTCGTGGTATTTATCTTAATTTGATCTGTGTCATTGTCTTATATGATTCTAAACTAATACTTATAATTTCTTGTATTACTGTTAAGCTTTATGACCTGTAAAGCACTTTGAGCTGCCACCGGCATGAAAAGTGTTATCTAAATAAGAATTATTATTATTATTATCATTAGTAGTAGTAGTAGTAGTGTTAATATTATTATTATTATTATTATTATTATTATTATTATTATGGTTGTTGTTATTACTTCAATTTTGCTCTGGTTTGGGAGTTCAACATTTTGAGACAGAGAAAAAAATTAACACAGTATAATATCACAATATTTTGGGTTTAAGAATAGTATAAACAGATGAAGGCCCAAGTATCGATAATTTAATATTAAATTATAAATATTTTTAGCTCATTGTTAGATTAAATTGTTGATACATTCTCACAAGGTATATGTATTGGTCCAGTCATCATGAAATTTTGGCACAATGTATAGGACAGCTGCTGTGCTCAAATGATGCAGAAATGAAAAAGAAATGGGGAAAAAAAAAATTAAGATTTTTTTTTTGTTTAGATAATACGTTAAATATGTAAGAATGAAGCCTGTTTTAAATGTGGCTTGTCTAATTCACTTGTAGAAGAATCTGCTAAATATATAAATGTAAGGACACAGTTTTTTGAATGTTGATACTTCACAATTCTGTTTTGCTTCAATACAAAATGTTATTTATAACAAGAATATAGAAAACTGCACAATCATTTATTTTTATTCATGTAAATTACATACGTAAAATGTACATGTAGCTCCTTAAAATAAATGTCAGTAACAATATTTATAGACGGAACCTATGCTTAGATAAAGATTGCCCTCTGCCTTTGTGGGCCTCTGATGCATTTAAAAAGTGCTCACTTCTCTGTCCCTTCTGCTCGGGTGCAGACAGATTCGCTGTATGTTTTCCATTGCGAAGGAACTCTCAAACACAACACACACAGTACAAGCTCAGAACACACAAACTCAGTTTTTTGTTCTTTCCTGAATCACGAGCCTTCTAAGAACAACAAACTGTTTCTACAGCGAACTAATCTGCATTTATTTTGCCAAGAGGTCCTCCACAGTTGAAGGCCACATTTTCTAATAAAAGACAGGGATAGATGAAGAGACGGAGAGGGAGCGAGAGCGAGTATGCAAGCAGAACGGCAAGACAGAAGGAGGAAAATGGAGAAAAAGAAGGGAGGATACGAACCGGCCTGAGTCTAGAGTCAACATATGATGCTACCGGCAAACTTAATCGAATTAATTGTGTCAGAAAAATGGATTACGCACAATATGAGACAGCAAAAGCAAACAGACAGCAGAGGGGATTAGCTCACCAGTCCAGCTGACTCCTGTTTAGGGAAGCTATTACTCAAAATTTAAAATCCGAGCCAGTGTTAAGACGGTTGGGAAAGCGCCTGGCGTTCCTTTAAAGTGTCAAAACTGAGCCAAACACGCCATCACGTAGAAAACAATGCTTTTCTGAGCACATTGTGGATATCGTCAGTACTTAAAGACACTTCCCAACAACATGTTTCATTACAAAGAGAGGCTAAACAGCCCTGTTTCACTGAATTTAGTGCAGGGCAGGACATGAAACAGTGAATATAAATCACTGTATATATATATATATATTTTAAATGTGGCACTACTTTGTCTTATTCAAGTAATCAGTGTATATCGTGACATATTTTGTATCGTGAAAACTTCTTGAAGCATCATATTACATTTTTCTCCAATAATCCATGTTCATGTAGTATCTGCTCCAGTGTTATGTACAAAGAGAATGCATTATTAATCATAATAATGAATTTGGTCACTGCAGTGTTTAATGAAAAGCAGATTTTTGGTTCAGAAATCAGTTTTCTTGTGAACTATATTGTTCATACAGTCTCAGTGCCATGTAACTGACCTGGTAAGTACCAATGCCAATATGTTTAGGGTCAATCTTCACCAGCTCAGCCAGAGGGTCCTGAACACGTCTTCCAATCGAAACTAAGAAGAAAGACACACATCACACAAGCAGAGCATGAAATAGCTTTTTTCGGTGACTGTTCTCAGTGCAGGAATACAGAGACAGATAACATCTCAAGGGATCAGCAAAATTACTCCTTTAATAAACCAACAGATTTGATTAAGCATAGATTAGCTATGCAAATGAGAAATTCTCCACAAGCAATGCAAAGCACACAGGTTCATTAATTATACTAATAAACTTTACAGGTAAAACCAATTACAGGCTCATGTGTGAGGCTCCACCACCCCCATATTATAATTAGAATTATACTCACTATCAAACAATATAGAAAACATATATATTTATGCCAAAAAGTGATAAAACGGTTAAATAAAAAAAAACACAGAACTCTTTGAGGTGAACTGCAGAAAACATAATAAGTAAGGCAAATTCATCAAAGATGCAATATATAGAATAAAGTAAAATTACTTAAATGACATAAAAGAGCCATAAGAATTCATAAATAAAATGGATCCCAAGACTAACCCATCTGGCACCTCACAGTACAGTAATTAACACAGCTCTGGTGATAGAGATACAGCTGACCAGCTCAAATTAATTACAGCGCTGCCAAATTCATCAGCTTCAATGGTGTATAACTTTCATATGACCTTAATTTAACAAAACTACATTTGAACTCTTTAAAAGCCTTTCAGTCTGGCTCTTGGCTGAGAGGCTGGAAAAGAAAAATCAACAAACATGCAATGATGTTTAAGTGCGAACACATGACAGGATCATTTAACAGCCTTAGCCACAGATGAATATACCATCACATGCCCCAAACCAAACACATTATAGAGAGAGAGAGAGAGAAAGAGAGAGAAAGAGAGAGAGAGAGAGAGAGAGAGAGAGAGAGAGAAGGAGAGAGAGAGGGGGAGAGAGGGAGAGAGAGAGAGAGAGAGAGAGAGAGAGAGAGAGAGAGAGAGAGAGAGAGACACTTGTTCTCAGATATATAGGCTACACACGCGCATAAGTCGTAAGTCTCTTCCCAGTAAGTTTAGTATCACAGAACTAAGCAAAGACAGGAGCAATAGTTTATGGGTCTGATTAAATGGGCGCAAATAAAAATTCAATTACAAAAAATAAAACCTCAATTTAGGAGGAATAAAATGTGACAAGTCTTTGGCAATACCATCAGCTCACAGGCCAAAAACAATATCATAAAATGTGGGAAGCATGAGGAGTTTGATGCACTTGTTTTATTAGTTTGTTTATTTTGTGGGTGAGCAGGGAGAATTTAAAAAAGGCATAAAGTTTAACCTTTACAAGTCTACAGTTATTACTGTCGCTTTATGCAACGGAATTCATTAAATAAGTACTATGGAATTACATTTACAATACATTTGCATTCTATATTGACACCTCTGACTTTCCTCCATTTGTTTCAATGTCAAACAATGACAAAAACAGCAAAAATATAAAGAATAGGGTTCAGCAGTTTCTACTTGTTCCATTCCTTTCAAACCGTCTACAAATATTACTGTGATGTACAGTATAACTTTTTGGCTAAGCTAGCGATAGCTTAGTTAGCAGGCCAAACATGGCACACAGCAAAACATGGCCTTGTTTCCAGCTAACTGATGATAAAATGACAGCCGCTTATAGGATATCTGAGAGCGCAAACTCAAGTGACTGGTGTTAGAGTGAACGCTGAAATGATACGTGTTCTGTGGTGTGTGTAGTTCTTTGCTGTCTCAGAGTCGCTTTCATGTTTATTTTTTTGGATTTTTTTTTCCTGGCTCTACCGTCATACCACCCAAACCTAGTAAAGAACTTTTCTATTTACTCAAAACATAACTGTACTACAGTATAATTTTATTCAACAAACTGAAACATAATATCTACTTCTGTGGCACTGAGTGAAAGTTCAGAACTCACAATTTCTCCACACTTAGTGAGTAAACAATATAACTAGATAAACCATATAATTAATGAACATAAAATTAGAAAATGTTGTTAGGAATAAGCGATTTCTAAGAATTTATTGTGCATGACAGAGAGAATGAAAATGAGATTTTAACTGATAAGACAAAATAAAGAGATGAGCAAAGGGAGAGAAAAAGAAGACAAGAGACACAAGACAGACAAACAAAACATAAATCTGAGAAAAATCACAACTGGGAAGAAGAGCTGGTTTCAGGCTGTCTGAGAGAGAGCATGAGAGAGAGAGAGAGAGAGAGAGAGAGAGAGAGAGAGAGAGAGAGAGCGAGCAAAAGAGAGAGAGCGGTGCTTTTGTGTATGCCGTACAAGGCCTATGCTGAAACTCCATCCCTGTGCAAATATTATTGCAGGCAGCAACTTCCCACTGAGTTCAATGCAGAGACGCAGAGTGAGGCATGGCAATCATCCTGCAGCAGCCCACCTCCACCCTCCACCCTCAATCACCCACTTAAAGTCTCAGCCACACCTAGCACTGTAGGTATTACACACAGTCTGCCTGCCAGTCCAATACCCACCAACGCTCTCCTCTATTCACAGACATATTGACGGACCTATCCACTTGGCATTTGGATATTATTTGGCGTGACATTTGCTGGAACTTTCAAAATAACACAGTTCTGTAAATGTTCTTACATAGAAATATATTCAGTGCAGTGTGACACTATCCTCTTCAGGAAATCACACAGGTTTCCGTAACAGCTCAGCTTTTCCACCCTGACCAGGACACACTGGAAAACACTTTTAATTTTTAAAAATTTGCTGTCCACATTACAATTTTTCATTGTTTTCAAAATGTTTTCTTGCCACACTGAAACGACAATATATACTATATACAACACACACATTCTACCAGAGCCAGGCAGTTTGTGGTGGTGCACGCCAGAAAATATGGTTATGCAAAGTTGCACAACCATTTGGTACACTGCCTGACATAAAGCAGTGAATAAAACGTATTTGTCTTGCACATACAGTATATACACTGTACATCTAAAAGTCTGTAGACACCTGTTTACTGGGTGTTTCTTCTAAAATCAAGAGTATTAATAGGGAGTTTGTCCCCCTGTACTACAGTAACAGCCTCTACTCTTCTGAAAAGACCATATGTTGAAAGACTGCTGTGAGGATTTGATTACATTCTGCCACAAGAGTATTAGTGAGGCTGGGTACTAATGTTGGATAAATAGTTCTGGATCACAAATGCCACTCTAACTCATCTCAGTTGTACTGAATGGAACTCCATCGCTCCAGAGAACACAGTTATGCTGTTGGCTTTATACCCTTCTAGACTGAAGCTTGGCACTGGACACGGTGACTTTAGGTTCACTGGCATCCCATTCTATTGGCAATGCTTCTTGTACAAGATGCATGTGCACAACTGAATGCCTCTGTCAGCAATGAATGCACCTTAAAGTAGCTGAATTCACTATTTAGAAGGGTTTTTGAATACTTAAAAAGTTGGGACGCTGTGCAAAATGTAAATAAAAACAAAATGCAATGATGTGCAAATCATTTAAACCCTCTATTTAATTGAAAATAGTACAAAGACAACATATCAAATGTTGAAACTTTGTGCCCATTTTGAATTTGATGCCAACAACATATTCCAAAAAATGTTAGGACAGGGGCAACAAAAGGCTGGTAAAGTTGTGTAATGCTAAAAAAAAAAAACGGTGGCTAATTGGCAACAGGTCATTAACATGACTGGGTATAAAAAAAAGCATCTCAGAGAGGCTGAGTCTTTCAGAAGTAAAGATGGGGAGGGGTTTGATTGTGCAGCGAAAGACTGCACAATCAAAATGTGCAACCATTCAAGAATAATGTTTCTCAACATAAGCAATGCTTTTCATCATCTACAGTACATAATAACATTAAATGATTCAGAGAATCTGGAGAAATCTCTGTATGCAAGGGACAAGACCTAAACCAGTATTTGCTGGCCATGATCTTCAGGCCCTCAAAACTCTAAAATCTAAAATGCAAAGAAGAAACCATACATAAACAGGATCCAAAAACGCTGCCCCCTTCTCTGGGCCCAAAGCTCATTTAAAATGGACTGAGGGGAAGTGGAAAAGTGTCCTGTGGTCTGACAAATCAACATTTGAAATTCTTTTTGAAAATCATGGACACTGTATCCTCCAGGCTCACATGGCATGGGTGACATGCACATCTGTGAAGGCACAATTAATGCTGAACTATATATACATGTTTTGGCAACATATGCTGCCATCCAGATGACACCTTTTTCAGGGAAGGCTTTGATTATTTCAGCAAGACAATGTCAAACTACATTCTGCATGTATTACAACAGCTCCATATTAAAAAAGGTCCAGGCGCTGAACTGGCCTGCCTGCAGTCCAGACCTGTCACCACTGATAACATTTGGCACATTATCAAATGAAAAATACGATAAAAGAGACCCTGAACTGTTGAGCAGCTGAAATCCTATTTCAAGCAAGAATGGGAAAACATTTCACTTTCTTTTCACTAGAGCAGTTAGTCTCCTCAGCTCCCAAACGCTTGCAGTGTGTTGTTAAAAGAAAAGGTGATGAAACACAGGGGTAAACATGCCTCCATCCCAACTTTTTTGGAACGTGTTGTTGGCATCAAATTCAAAATGGGCATATATTTTTCAAAAAGTTTCAACATTTGATATGTTGTCTTTGCACTATTTTCAATTAAATAGAGGGTTTAAATGAAAATAAAATTTCTCAGTTTAAACACATGATATTTTGTCTTTGTAGTTATTTTCTTTGAAAAATATGGTTTACATGATTTGCACATCAGTGCATTCTATTATTATATACATTCTGCACAGCGTCCCAAATGGAAATGGGGTTGTATAATATAACACTTTAATTAAGTAATTGTACATTTTGGATATGCTGACAAACTTATCCAATAGACATTAGCATTTTAGAACATGTTTAGTTTTCCCCCATCAACTTTACCAGTAAAAACTGCATTTTTAGGGGTTAAAAACACTACTTCAGTTTTTCAACCAGAAATCACAACGTTTTTATTTTTCTTTTTTCAAGTTGTTTTTTGCTTTATTCCTAGTTCAATGTTTTGTGTCTGTGCACCCTTAGGATTGCTACCCAGACAATAAAGAACCTTGAATCTTGTTAAGTATATCACTATTAATACACAAAGCGTCAAAATGCTAACTGGATTATCAGCTCAACCCAAAATCCTAACATGTTTACCAACGAAAGCCGGTAGGTCCAGTTAGGATCATGCAAATACGAACTGGCTCTACTAGTTTTTGCCAGCAAGACTGCCATTTCTCGGTGAACTAATCCTTTCAGATCACAGGACAAATGATAAAAGGTGGTAGTGTTTAAAGATCACAACCACACTGGAAGAAAACAGTGCAAGAAAAGAATGACTACACAGAGTGAATCGAGTTCCTCAGCTGATTCAGTTCTTCAAGACAGTGTGGCAGAGGTGCACCCACCTCTGGTGTTGTACAGTGTTTACACACTAGAGGTCTCTCACACTCTAAACAAAAATGGTACTATTAAAGGGGTGTAATAAGAAAGCTAACATTAATGAGTTTTTTTTTACTTTACAATAGAAGGTCAACATTGCCTACTTCAAGACCCCTTCAATTTTCACACATTCGAATATATCAACAATTCACAAATATAAATATAAGCACTAATAATTTGTGCACATGGCAATCAAGTACAAAAATGGATGTACTCATTTTACATGCTTTTTGGTATAAACAAATGCTGCAACTCTTAAATGTTCCATGACACCTTTTATACTACTAACACTGGCCAAAAAATAAAACATACAAAACACAGCTAGGGTAGAAGCATCTCATACACTGCAATAATACAGCATTTATTTTATTTTAGAAAGATAATTACACTTCACATCACATCGCATCAGTCTAATGTCTTAAAAAACTATGGCGTTTTGTTTATTTCACATTTTCAGTCATTATAATTTTAAGAAAAAACGTTTAGTCAGTAAGAAGAGCAGTTCAACCTCAAACTCCACCTACATACACAGCTATTGGCTCACAAGCTGCTGAATACTGTTGTTCTATTGGCTGCCTATTGAAACACATAAATTAGTGTGCTTCATGTAAATTATATATAATAAGGTACCGCCAGGCGGTGCTTGATTTCGCAACGAAGCTGATTCAACATTTGCGTCCAAATCTTCGCTTGTTGCCTCCTCATACAAAGGTTTCATGAATCAGACACAGAGCAATTCGTACATCATTAAAGGTGGTCAGATTTGTGCTCTTTTTTTTTTTTACACAAAATGTATGACAAATATGTTTCTACAATTCTGGACACAAATTCTTAATTTTGGCCACAACATTCACTGGCTTGGTGGCCCATGTGGCCAGTGTAAATGTTCACATTTGTCTACCCTTGTTTTAGAACATAATTTAATGCAAAATAAATAAAATCCAAATATGGAAACATGAAACATAAAGAAAGAATCTGTTATGAATGTGCATGTGTGTGTGTTCAATCAAACAGATACAAGCACACACACACACACACACACATGTTCACAAAAACGTGAAAAAAGTGCTACAATTTTATACGGCTTTCGTAAAAAGGATAAATATAGCTCCCCAGTTCGCTCTCTCACTTGACCAGAGGAAAATTTATGATAAATCCCACATTGATTTACTGCTTTTATAGAGGAAGTCTGGAATAATTCTCAGATCCTGTTTTTGAGAGTGTTTGAGCCATTTCCAGACTTTTCTATACACTTTTTGTGTTTGGGATTGCAGAGCAAATGCCTGTGTGGTCCAGCACACCGCCGAGGCTTGAAAAGTCCAGTTTCACAGAAGCATAATGAGTAACACAGATCTGGTCGGATCACAACTGACAACAAAGGTCTGTAAATAAAGCAAGGCATTTAACTTCAGAACTAAAAACCTGAGTCAGTCAATTGTCATTGTTGAAGCACAGCTTACGTTATTGACCTTAAAACAAATATGACATAAGGATGCAGACTACCGGCAACCATCCGTGAAATTACTGTCAGATAGCACAGACTAGGCTGACTGAAATGGCAGAGAAAGATTGAGCTAAGCAGGAGCTGAGTTGGAAAGACAGGTAAGATACAACTGCAGGGCCAGCGCTGGCACTGGAGACATGTTTTTCAGGGTCTAGACAACCACAAATATCTCTTGACAACTCTCATTCAAAAAAGAGCTCTTGTCAATGCTATGAGTCTAATAGGATATGCAGCTGTCAAGAAACTGTTACTGGGAAAAGGAAATAGACAAAAGAAGAAGAACATTTGCACTTCAAACAAAGAAGCTGCTGGTGTTTTCAGGACATTGACTGGCCACCCCATAGTCCAGACCCCATCACTGAAAATGCTCGGATTACTTTGATTGTGAGAAGCAGAAAATGCAACCAACTTCTAAGACTAAACTTTGGAGGTGTGGAAAAAAATTTGAAAAAAGAGTACGTCTCCTGACAAAAAAATGGAAGTTGTCATAAATACAAAGCGTCTACACAATGCCAGAAGTTATTTTTAGCTGTGGTGGCTTTGGTGTAATTTTCTGTAAAATAATTTCCCATTAAATGTTGCCTGTTCTATTTTCTGACACTGGAAAATGAATTGCTTATACTTTATGGCTGCTGTGATTGGAAATTACGCAAATGAATGTTTCTGACTTTAGCACAGTACAACAAAAATGCAAAATCTTAGTAACACTATTTTGAGTGGCCCTTTGTAGATGATTAATAAGCTCTTAACAGATTATCAGTAATACATCAACATCATATCAGTGAAGTAGCAGTAATGAAGCATCTGAATACACTGAAGTAAATATCTTGTAGATGTTCTGTTGATACATTATTTACATTAAGTAGATTTATTGTTAATACATTACTTCCATCATGCAAAACCTAACCTTACCCAACCTTATCCAAAACCTAACCCTCACCCTGGCCTCAATCCTAACCCTCACATGTTTTTGACACGTTACTGAGAGTCTGTTGAGCGTTCATTTAATCTAAAAAGGACCACTCAAAATAAAATATCACCAAGATCTTAAATATAATAAAAGATCGAATTCAATCTTTTCTCTCTCAGATGCCAGATGCAGCATTTGCTGCTGATATCAACCCAATACAGATATCCATCAATATTGATATTCCCTATCTAATGCACAGCAGAGTTATTTTTAATCTGCTGCCAAAAGACCAAAAGTATTCAGACACGCCTTCTAATTAGTGAATTCAGCACTCGTTGCTGACACAGGAGTTCAACTGCACACACACAGCTTGTACAATCTCCATAGAAAAGCACTGCTAGTAGAATGGGATGCTCTCAAACAGCCACACATGAACCTAAGGTCATCATGCCCAATGCCAAGCATCAGCTAATGGAAAAGGTCCTCAGCATTAGGCTGGGGAGCAGTGGAACTGGGTTCTCTGAAGTAAAGGAGCTTCCTCCAGTAACACTGGGATAAACTGGAGTGATCCAGAACTAATCATCCAACATCAGTACCTGACCTCACTAATGCTCTTGTGGATGAATGCAATCAAATCCTCACAGTTCTAGTGTAAAGCCTTGCCATAAAAGTAGAGGCTGTTACTGCAGCAAAAAGGGGACAAACCCCCTATTAATATCCTCGATTTCAGAAGAAAGCAGGAGTCTATAATGTTTTAGACATACAGTGGACCTTCTATAGGTCATTTTGTTACATTCTTACCCTGATGCAAATGACACAGAATTTACAGAATTTGACAGTTTTTACATGTCTAAGGTGTAGAAAGGAAGTGAGTAAGAGGTAGTTACCTGCACTTCTCAGATTTGGGTCTAGGTCTGGCATTTCTTTCACAGCCTCTGGACTGACACTGTAGATGGATGCTCCTGCTTCATTGGTGATACTGAAAATGAGACATACAGAGCGTTTACATAAAAGTGAAAAACAGAAAGAGTGAATGAAAAAGGTCACAAAACAAATCCAACTAAAACCTCACAGTAATTAAAACAACACTGTTGACAGAGATATAACTGACCAGTTCAAATTAATTACAGTACCACCAAATTCACCAGCTTCAGTCAGATATAGTTTTCAAATTACCTTTATTTAACATAACTATATTTGAACATTTGAACATTGAACATCAAGTCTGGCTCTTAGCTGATAGGCTAGAAAAAGAAAAAACAGACACACCAAAGTATCTCACAACACTTCACATACATATAAAAAAAGCATCTCACAAAACTTACAAAAAAAACACAATATAATAACATATATAATAACATAATATCTGAAGTTATGAACATAGTAAAACCAAAAACACTACATAGAGGAACAGTTCAAAAAGCCCCCCAAAGTGAGTCTACAAAGTCTGTATACTTAAACACCAAAGAGTCCATTTAAATAGATTTGCATTGAGAGCACTGAAGTCTGAGACTAGCACTGCAACGTCCTCACTTTCAGGGTTCAGGCTGTTAGAATTCAGAGCAACACAAAGGACACATGCTAATATACACAAACATCACATTCGCCACTGTTTACTTTAGCCATCAAAGGCTATTTGAGCCGGTTAAGCTCAGACCCCAAGCGTGATACCTACAGTGCCTGTGTCTCAGGCCCATTTATCATAACTACATTTTTGTGAAGAATAGTAATGAATAACTGCAAATAATAATATAAAAATGACAGCCTCAATAGACAGTCTATTCAGCAGGAACTGGTTATAAATAGCTAGAGTTAGTGGACCAGTGTAAATGCTAGCAGTGATCCAGGATCTTAGCAGACCTCTGTTACTTTTGGATGTAAAGGTGCAAGGAGAAAAGCATTAAGGCCACTTTACTTATTTAGTCTGTTGCTTTGTTGGTAAGCATTGCTTTTATGAATTTAGTGACATTAAATAAGATTGTGAACAATGTCTATCATGGGCAATAACCTTCAAACAATGCTACTCTCTCCGCAACTGTAATGTCTCATACTCCATTTGTACAATACTGAATGCAATTCACAGGCTGGAGATGGTCTCTAATCTGTATGCGAATGCTGAACTGAAGGACTGACTAAAGCTTAGGATAGATGTACTGTACCACTCTTGCACTGACTGTGTCATGCTAGCTAAACTTGAGTCAACACTGCCATCTAGAGGATAACGTGACAAAAGGAAAATGATTCAATAATTTACACCAGAAAATATGGTTCACTGGAAGATGTTTACTAACACAGGGTGGATAACACCATTTTCTTCCAGCTTTCTTTGTGGCACGACTGAATGCTTTGAAAATGTCAAACCTGTTACAACAAAACACTGACAATTCTGACTGATGATTGATTGTATGTTTATAAAGATTCATATCATGGAATTTTTTATGGAACAAAAAAATGCAAAATTTCCTCTCTACTATGCGGTCAAGCTTCATAAACGTCAATGTGATTTTACTGTGACTTCAAACAGTAACAATTGCAGATTACTGAGTGCAGAGATGACAGTGCAGTAACATTTTGAAATGTCATAAAAAAAATGTCATATATATATATATATATATATATATATATATATATATATATATATATATATATATATAGAGAGAGAGAGAGAGAGAGAGTTTTAAGGGATTTTTTTTTATTTCTAATTCAACAATTGAAATTTGAACAAAGTCATCCTGAGTGGTTTGATGTGAAATGCACTGTAGTAAAACTTATAGAATGAGATTTCCTTACAGTGGTCATGAAGCAAAAGGGCAAAATGAGCTCAAAAACTCATCACTACGGACAGTACAGCTACTCTCTCGTTTAGCAGGCCTCACTGTTAACTCAGGCAATTAGCGACATCTTAACCATGACAGCTCACAGAGGCTTTTTGACATGAATCTTTTCTTAAAAGCAGTGGTGTCCTCTTTTTCCATTTTCCTTTCTCCTCATTCTTCCCTTCTCCTCCCCCTTTCCCTCCATCAGAGCATCATCAACCCAGACACCCCCACCCCTCCCCCTGTCAACAGCTGACATGTCGCCGTGGAGACAGTGCTAACAAGGCCTGGCATATGACCTTCAGACGGGTCATTGTGGAGCTGGTCATTAATAAGACGTGCCTGTGCACGAAACACACACACACACACACACACTCAGAGGCTGCAGTGAATAAATCCATTACTACACTAGCAGGCTTCGTAGATACAGTAAGAAAATACTTGAAACCCATTACTTCTCCTAAGAAATCATATGATTTAGTCATAAATGGCCCTTTCACACTTACATACAGTACTGAGCAATCTCAAACACATTCACTCTGGGGTGGTAGTCCATTGTTTTGAGAACACCAGCAGCTTCTTTGTTTGATTTGCAAATGTCGTTCTTTTTTATTCTTCATTCTTGCCTATTTCCTTTTTTTCAGTAATGCCTTCTTGACAGCTACACATCCTTTCAGACTCACAGTGTTGAGCTGGCTTTCTCTCAGTGGAGGGATGGACAGAAACACCTGTGGACTTTTTCAGATGTGAAGCAAGAACGGAGCTTGATTTTCTCCTCTCTCTCAAAGATGAAAGATTCAACTGTTCTGGTAACTCCTGCTTTTCTCACTTCTCATTTCGTTTGACTTTCCTCTTCCTTATGCAAGTGAATATAACCAAACTGAAGCGTGAACCTTATTTGGACAAGTTCTGCAAAGTACCAAATCATTGCAAAAGACAATTATACTTGAGACAGTCGAATGTAAATGAGGAACAGGACTACCAGCTATAAGATGGATGGACAGAATCAAATGAATCATAAACAAGCCATTTAGAAGCATAAAGACCCAAACAGAAGACAGGATATTCTGGAGAAACACTTTAACAAATCACGAAGGTTTGTATGCTCTGAACATCCTGAGATTTCCTGATAACAGTGTAAAATTCCCATCAACAAATTACTGATAATTAGTGGCTTGTCTCACATTGTAACAAGCCTCTGACTTGACAGAAAAAAGCTAATTTTTTAGGATCTCATGGTTTCTTGTTTACATGTCAGTCTTTATAAAAAATGTAACCATCATAATCATACTTACATCAGAGTAACATGGGTGGAACTGCTAAATTGGAACACAAAACAGGATCGTGCTTAAAATAACGAAAAATAGGCTCCCGGATAGGACACCCATCTAAGCATCGGCCCTGTTGTTAAAAGATAATTTCACCCTCCCAGCTTGATAGCAGCTTGTGATAGAGGGAAACCTAGCTAAAAGAGCTAGAAGGTTCCAGCCTCCACACTACTATATGTACAATATTTAAGAAACGTAACCACTGAAAAACGACAACTGAGCCCCTCCAACAAAAAAAAACATGTGTTGATCATTCCATCCTTTTTTTAAGATGATCAGTTATTTTGTTTTGTATTTTATTTTAAAATAACTGCACTGGTAACAGTTTCAAAATACTAGTTGTGCCTTTTAATCATTGCATCAGGCATTTGCCAGTCATGTACATATATTCTTAATCTGCCAATGAGTGACTGCCCCCCCCGCGCGCACACACACACACATATTTCACCCCTTCATTAAGTGATATGTGACACTGTAGGCTGCTCTAGGTCAATTGAAAGAGAGATAGTGCCTGGATTTAGAGGAGACAGACACACTTAAGGGAAAAGAGCCCAGAAGAGACACAGAGGGGCACACACAGCTCACACAGAGAGAGCGGCTGACCCCTATCATGTCTGAATTAATTAGCACGGCCGCTGGGGCAGCTGGGTAACAGCCCTCAACGACCCTGACATGGATCCGCATCCCACCCGGCTTCACCCTGTCCCGGGCACGGTCGTACTACGGGCAGGGCATCGCTATGGCAGCAAACAGAAGGTTGTCCACGCCCGTTCCGCCACAAGTGAGCACAAACATGAAGGCACAAAACAGATTGAAAGACGTCCTCACAAAGAAGCAACCTGCCTCCAAGAGCTGTGGATGACTGGACGACCCTTTAGGTCACTCAAGTCCAAACGCATACATATACACAAACATACACACATTTACAGTGTGGTCCATCAAGGCTTCATCATCGTCCCAGGGCAAAGTCACAGTTAAGCCCTCTGTTCAGAGAAACACTGGCCCTCTCTCATTACTCATCATCATCAGCCCCTGAGGCTTGAGACCCCTCTGCCCCTGACCACTGACTGACACTCAGAGATGGATACACGCTTTGATACGTCCCCCCCCTCAACAACCCCTCAAACAAGAGCGCTAATTAACATCAGTCATCAGATCCTTTTGAGAGAGGAACAGACGATATCATCGCCACAGTAACGCGATACACATGACTCTTGGGTTGGACGTGAGCATCACAAGGAAAGAAGCGGTCAGTACTCAACCATTCTAGTCAATCTGAAGGACAACACAACCTCATTCTGACCTCATGTCTCAAGGATTTCATGTCTTTCGTGAGTGGTGTAAGGGTGTAACGAAGCACAAACTACGGCGTACTACACGTACAGTCATAAGCAGAAGTTTAAGCGTCCGGGTAAATTATAGTTTAGTGTTGTTAAAAAAAAAGGAAAAAAAAACATACACATCTACAGAGAACAAACTTCTGCACATTTAATGTACAATTACTGTTTACTGTTTCAGCAATTTACAATTGCTGAAATTAACATCTTTAACATCTCAACATTTTAAGTTTTCCAAGATGTTAACCCGAGTAAATAAACAGAAATTGTGCACTAAAATGAGCAGAAATGTCATATTTACATTTGTTCCCTCCATATTATGTGCTAATTTTTACTTCCAAAGTCAACAAAACTTGTCATGTAATCAGGGGTATTCAAACTTTTGCACATGATTGTACTGTATTTTTGCACCACAATATGCTACCTTTTCCATACAGAATTAAAAATGAATAATAACTAAATAAGTAAATAACTAAAGCCAATATTCATTTAGCTTTT